CTAACCTCGATAACTCAGCTGTTTCTAGTCCGATCGACTTAAAATTTTGACACGTTTCAAGCAAAGGTTAGTACTCTAGAAAGACGTGGTTACTGGTTTACTACGAGCGCCATTTCTGGGTTAGTCTCGGGACTTATTGATCCATGTGTTATAAAGAAATGTCATAATAAATTAAAATAATATAAAATACCTGGTCAATAGGCTGCAATTTATCGCAAGAAATGTAATAGAGACAATTTTGTGAAAACTAATAAGTATTGAGCAATTTTGCAGTAAAAGAACACAGATTTAAAGTGATTTTAACTTTAATAGTTGTCGATTGAAAATGACTGTTGAAACAAAAAAGGAGACTACGACACTCACAATTAGAAGAAGTAAAAGAAAGGGGGAATCTAATAAGGAGTTAGAAGGGGAATAACGATTATAAGAAGTTACATATCCGATAAAGAATCCGTATCAATTTGTTTTAATCCCTGAGTTTGTCTCTTAATGATCATTTCAGAAATTAGTCTTTTGTTATAAGATGGTTCGGTGTCTACAATTTTCATATCTTTCCAATTAAAATTATAGTTATAATTGATACGATGATCAGAGATTACAGAAGAAGATTCTGTTTTTTTTTTATTAATATCAGACGAGTGCTCATGAATTCTCGTTTGTAATCGTCTCTCGGTCTGACTGATTTGTCTCACATTGTTAAATTAAATTTGAAATACAGTGACGAGCAAAAGTGTAAACATATTCTACTAATTTTCTATAGAAGGCAATAATATGGTTAATTTTTTAATTAATCGATAAGGATTAAGTAATAATAATTATGAGATGACTCTGGTAAATAAAACATAACGTTTCATTTTGTGAGTGTTAACAGTGTATGAAACCTTTTACAAAATTAAGCATTTAAAATAATGTTTACACTTTTGCACGTGTCTTTCGAGCTATTAATCGATATTAATTATTGAAAAATATGATTCCCATACCTTTTGGATGGTTACGAAGGCAGCCATGTCTACCTAAACACGTATAATTTTATATGGAGTAAGAAAATTATACAGGTATGGTTGCAGAACGTAAAACTGAGCTATATATATATAAATCATTATTTCGATTTATGATGAATTTTATTTTCATTTTAACACATTGTGATTACGTCAATTTTATAGTATTGATTCGATATTTCAATTAAATATTTAAATTGTTGGTTTCAGTATTCGATTAAATACGATAAACGACATTGAAGTTTTTTATCTCTGGGCAACAATTTAACAATGATTCAGCGACAATATATCATACTTTTTATCACATTGTAATGCAAAATATTAATAAATTTAAATAAATATTCATATACTAAGGATGACGCAAATACCAAGGATTGAAACGTCTATAATTTGTTATTTAACATATGCGTTTCGTTACACATGATCAATCGTATCGGCTCACATTGATATTATTATTTACCTCTGTGAATAAATCAAATAATAATTTATATTTAACTAATTTTGTAACAGAAAAGTGATATACGATTTTTTTATTATTTTAGGAGAATGTAACACCACCGAGTTCCGCGCCACCAGTCTTTACCCCACCAGAAATTGCGCCAGAATTTTTGCTAGAAGATGAGTTTGCTCAAATAGATGGTAATTACACAACTATTATATACATACTTATACGTATTATTTTCATATAAGGTGTTTCAGTAACTATTATCACCTTAAATATCTTCGAATGTATACAATTCAGAGGAAAATTTGTGTAATCAAAGTTGCACGGTACAAAGGGGACTATTAAGTATATGGCGATAATTTTTGTTCCGTACAATATTGGCTATATAAATTTTCCTTTGAATCTTACAGATTTGAAGATATTTAAGGTGATAATAGTTATTAAAACGTTTTGTATATATTGCTTATAAAATTGAAAGAATATATATATATATATATATATATATATATATATATATACATATATATATATCTTTTTTTATTTATTTATTGCATGTGTTTTATAGAATCGCAAGAAGGAAAGCCAATGGTGAATGGTGATAGCGGATTCATGATAAATTTGTCTCAAGACCAAAAGGATCAATACGGTTCACAATTTGGGGACGAGAAGTTAGATGAAACGCCAGATATATTAGGTGAGCTTCCAAATTAAATTAAAATTCTCGAAATGTAGACTATGATAATAGTTAAAATATAGTAGGTATTATTCATTTTAATCTATAAAACATTGTGACTTGCTGCACAGTCGTGGAGATATCAGATGAATCGGTTGATAAGGTAAATTAGTATAAAAAGATCGTTTATAGATATTAGATAATTTATTTTGTTTTTTTTTTCTTTTTACAAAAAGCATGCAATTATTTCTATCAAACGTTTAATAGATTTATAAATGTTTTTTATGTTTTAATAATTCTGGTTTTGCTATCAAAACAAAATTTTATTTTTATATGAAATATTCTATTAATGTAGCGCAATATCAAATACATGATTTATATATAAAGCTATAGCGAATTACTTTATGTCAAGAATAAAACTTTATTTGATTCATAGACGGAAAAGGATCCTAAATCTGGTGAAGATCTCAAATCTGCTAGCCAAAAGGACGACTTCGGTCTTGGAGTGGCTCAGATTGTGATTACAGCCGCAACTCCGATGGAAGAGACTGAACATTCTTTCCCCGGAGTAGAAGAAACTCCAGAAAGCTCGGCGAAGTCTGCAGAAGTCTCCGAAACCGAGCCTGAAGCTTCAAATGCGGCTTCGGATCTGAATGAAAGCGAATGTAAAGAAGAAGAAGAGCCAACCATTATTTTGGATGAGAAAGAGGAAGAAGCTGAAGAAAAGTCTACAATTGACGAACTTCCAGCCGATTCGGCACCGTTTCCAATCAGCAGTAGTTCTGGAAGCGAAGCAGAATCAACATCTGGTCCCAGCACCAACGAAAATTCTCAATCGAGGGGAACAGTGGTAGAAGTGACAGAAGAAGTCACAGAGGTTATGGAAGAGGAGGAAATTGCGCCAGGAAAAATGCTGGTAGGAGGAAGAGCCAGCATTCCAGATGAGCTGCAGCCGGACCAACTGGAAAAATTGCAATCGCTCAAGGAATCGAACGCCTAGGGCTGACTAGGCCCCGGGGTCCACAAGGGCAGAATTATCTTGCCTGACGGCCACCCCGACAACTTCCGACACTTGCTAGACTTCTGGCGATCACCTGAGGTGCTAGGCAAAAAAGACTAACTGTATTAAACTCACACTAAGACTCTATCTGAAATTCATAAGGTTCTTATGGTGATCGAATAGTGGTGGAAATAAAGATGATTGAAATTGTGATTGAACTATCTTTCGAGTAATGGATGTTAATAGATCAAGTGCTGAAGACTGTCTAAATTATGGCTATAAACATAAAAATTATTTTCGTGTGCCTAAAGCCCACGAAGGCACCAGAATGAAATTTAACTTTAAATCGCAACTACTTTCAAAATAATAAAAAAAAAATGTGTGTTATTATCTTTATTAACTAGTCAGAATCATAGAAAAAAAAGATTTATTTGTGAAATTACATTATCACACTGATTTATTAACATCATGAAAGGAAGAAGAAATGATTTAGCAAATTAATCGAAAAAAAAAAAATGATTAAGTTAAATGAATAATTTAAAGGTAATAAACAGATAATTAAAATCAGGATAGTTACGAAGAGTAGAAAAATTAATATACAAGATCACCAAGACTTTATGTAAAACTTTATATAAGGTCAACGAGATTTCTCTTTGTGTTGACTGATTAATACAAGATTAGAAACATTATAATTTGTCTTAGGACAAATTGAGCTTTAATGAGTTGGTTAAACTCTTAAGTTAATAAAGCTAATAAAGGGGGTAAAGGGAGAGGTTTTCTTTCGTAGGAAATGATGTACAGTGAAATGGGATAATAGAAAGAATTGTCGATACCTGTGTACTATAAAAGACATACATTTTAAAGGAATTACACTGGTGTTGCATGTAAAAAGGACTATTCATTCAATGTTCCTCATCTTTCATATGTGTTCATTTTATCCTTTTATCCAACATATTAAAAATCTATAATAAAGTGTATAAAAATTTATATGTCAAAAAACCAATGTTTTTCAATGCATACTACAAAAAAAATTCAAATAATTTTTAATGTTATGATCGAATATATAGCTGTGGAAATAAGAACAAAAAATTGTAAATAAAATTAAGATTAATCACAATTCTAAACATTTAAATTGTAATGACGCTATAAATTAGAATAATGTTGCACAAAAGATTGTATTTTTTTTTATAAATGTTTGGAAATCTCAATATTATTTACACAGAATAGTTTTCATTATATGTATATTCAATAAAATTAAATGTGAGAACTTTTTATTTCGTTAAAGATATATATACACATATAGATACACACACACGCACACACACACGCGCGCGCACGCACGCACGCGCACACACACACACACACACAATAAAATCATCGAGCAATGAATTTAGGGGCCTATTCTGATACCTGTTTTACAAGGACAACAAGTCATAAGCTATAAGAAATTGGCCAATCACAGTAGAATAAGAAAAAAATAATCGGCCATGATTGGTTCATTTATTACGGTACGATCCTTTGCGTCCTTATTGTAGAATAGGCTTTAACGATTATAACGATATCGTTACATTGCCAATTTGCAGGTTTTGTACATACAACAATTTAAGGGTGCGTCCAGATTATCAAGAATCTCGAAATGGGTAAACTCTCGAAATGGGCAAACTCAATATTTGGATAAACATTTGTTACGAGGCAAAAAACAATGAAAGTTAACAATCGAAGTAAAGATAGTTTGGACGATATTGTTAGAGTCGTTAAAGAATTATTATTTCAGTTTATCAGTATGTTTCAAGTCGATAAACCGAATCAGCAGTCTGTAGAATTGATAATTGTATTTATGTATTCACATATGAATATTACTGAGCAACGAGGCTCGTTTTGATCGAAAAATAGCATTCTTCTCTTTTATTTGTGTTTAAACATTTTTAGTTTATTTCACTCAATATTATGTACAATTATATATATCGTTAGAACACAAAAAATTTTACATTCTAAAAAAAAAAAGGAAAACGTTTACGAAAAAATTTTTGAGGATCCCAAGAATAAAAGATTATAGAAAAGTTTAAAGTTTTATTGTACACATACATTTATATATATGATTTTTCTCAAATTTGATCTCTTTGTGTGTATGTGGGTGTGTGTATATGTGTATACAAAAAGAGATCAAGAGATTCGAAAAAAATCTTCGGTACTGTAATTTTATCAGTATGAAAAAAATTAATAGTCCTTTAAGCTTGCATTCGTAAAGCACCATCCAATCTAATTATCTCCCCATTTAGTAATGGATTTTCAACGATCTGTTGTACTAACATGGCATACTCATCAGGATTTCCCAATCTTTGAGGAAACGGTATACTTTTTGCCAAAAAGATTCGTACCTTTTCTGGCAGCGTTTTTAATAATGGAGTATCAAAAAGTCCTGGAGCAATTGTTACGATACGAATTCCATCCTTGGAAAGATCACGAGCGATAGGTAAAGTCATCCCTATATAATAATAAAAAATTATAAAAAAAGTATAAATTATAAAAAATAAAATGAGGAAAAAAAGAATAAAGTTTATTGTCAAAATAAAATAGAGGAAAGTAATAATAAGCATAAAGGGAATAAGATTATATACAAGGTGTTTTGGAATTATAAGTAAAAACTTAATTGTTCAAAACTCAAAACAATCTAAAAAGTCTTAGGGTTGTAGTTCATAGTCCGTTGTTATTTCAAGACTGTCTTAAGTAATGTCTTAAAATGCTACTACATAACTCTTTGATTGGCTTATGACATCTTAAGATTGTACTTAAAACAGTCTCAAATATAAGAATTAACTATGAATTATATTGGACTTAGTTCGTTCATAGTCTGTTTTTATTTTAAGACCATCTTAAGCAATATCTTAAGATGCTAATATGGTTCTCTAATTGATTCATGACATTTTAAAATTGTATTTAAGACAATTTTAAATGTTAGGTGTAGTAAAAAGTCCGCGTATTTTTTAGCTCAAAGTTGTATATACAATATCTTCGTCAATAATGAATGAAATTCAAATTAAAAAAAAAGGGTTTTATAGCTTGAAATCTCTACTTTTAAAAGCTTATCACATTTTTTAAGTTTATATGAGTTTGATAATTTTTACATACCAAAAACTACGAGCTGAAAAAGACGAAAAATTTTCTTCTCACTTTGTGGATTTGTAACGTGTCCAAAACGAATTTGAGAAAATTTTCGATTACATATCGTGAAAGCTTGATACTTTCCCTACAAAATCGTTTTTTTTAAATATTCCTACGACTTTTGATTACTGAGTTATCGCGGATTAAATAAAAGAATTATTTTGACTTTAATTGCTCATAACTCCATTAAAAATTGTCGTATCGTATAATTTAAAAAAGAGATTTTTAAAGCTGAAACTTTACTCTATTAAGATATATTTATATTGTTGGTAAGAAAGTAATTGCGGTTTTTACTGATAGATGTCTTTTAAAAAAACGCGATGACTTTTTACTACACCTAATATAAGGCTCAACTATGAATATTGTCTTTAATGAGGATATGCAAGTTAATCATTTTTTAAATATTCAGCTTCTTATTTTGCAAGTTGCATTCATTATACAATTATATGTATTGTGGAATAACTGATGACTAATTCTGAAACACTCTTTATAGTATCTAAATAATAAATTATAAAAGAATAAAATAAAAATATATATACCTACGACTGCTCCTTTTGAAGCAGAATAAGCAGCCTGCCCTATTTGACCATCAAAAGCGGCGACACTTGCAGTATTAACAATTACACCTCTTTGACCATCTTGATTAGGAGAATTTTCAATCATTAAACCGACAGCGAGGCGAATAACGTTGAAAGTACCAATGGTATTGACTTGGATAACTTTAGCGAAGTCCTCCAGTTTGTGAGGAAGTTTTTTATTACTATTATATGTCTTAAAGGCTACGGCGATACCAGCGGCGTTGACGAGAACGTCAAGCTTACCAAATCTTTGTTTTGTAAGATCAAGAGCAGCTTGGACATCAGACTCCGAAGTTACCTTGAAGAAAGTTAATAAGATCAGGAGACATGGTAGTGTATTTTAGTATTTAACAGAGAGATAATAAGAGATAAGAATATATGATATATAAAAAGAACAAATAATTACAATTTTTTAATTTGGATAATTATAATTTGGGTAACATAATTTAACGTTTTAAATCAAGAGACATGGTAGTGTCTCGCGCCAATATATGCATCCATACTGGGTGCAGGTATAACTTTACTTGAACTATCAAGTTGATCAGAAACGTACATTACGGTCATATATAACAAATAATTAGGCGGACGAAATTTTTAATAAGCTCAATCGATAGCTTGGGGTCCCATTATGTATAGGTATTACATTGCTAGAGATCAAAATTTCTTTCTGACAAATAATTTAATAAAGAACACATTTAAAGATTGTAAAATGTATTCTGTTCTATATATTAAGATTATATTTGATGAGAGATTGTACAATTATACATTATAATAATAATATTTAAACATTATACATACATCCATAGGTGCAAACACTGCATTAGCTTCTCCTAATTCGTCGGCTACAGTTTTACCTTTTGAAGCAGGTAAATCACCAACAATTACTTTAGCACCTTGCTTGATAAATCTTTCCACAGTGCCACGTCCTAGCCCAGAAGCACCACCAGTCACCAAAGCTACAGTGCCCTGTAATAAATAAAAAGAAATATTTATCAATTTTTATTACAAATAAATCTCATCAGTTTTAACATATAATTGTAATTGTCAACTTTTACAGCGATTATTTCCAAATCTGACATCTCAAATAAAAAATATATCGAAGAAATTATTTTTTTTGAATATAAATAAATTCTCATAATCAATAACTTTATTCGAAATGTTTGCTAATTGTTTAATATAGTTTTTAAAACAGTATTCCGATGTTCATTGCCGACAATGAAAATCTATAGTGTGTGTAACATATGCTATGAAGCTTCAAAAGTGACAATAAATATTGAAACGTACCCCATATACATATAATACATAAGCTGTAAAAATTACACACACACGCGCGCGCGCGCGCGCGCACGCGCGCACACACACACACACACACACACAGAGAGAGAGTAGTCTACTTAAATCAAACATTTTGAATAATTCGCTTATTTTTAATGATATAAAAAAAAAATGTTTCAAATGTAAGTGGAATAATTTCGAAAGGGACATATTTTAGTCACGTGGTTTTTTTTTATATAAAGGCTTCTTTCCGCAAATCTAAAAAGATATGAGGATCAGCTCCACTTTTTAAAATACAATTATGTCATTTTTTTACATATTATGATTCTTTTAATTATTCTGCATATAAAAGTATTAAGATAGAGATACCAAAAAACCAATAGTTTGAGATATTTTACACTTTATTCTGACACATTTTGACATAAAATATAAAATATCTTGTAAACTATTAATTTTTTGGCAACTGTACTCTAATACTTTTATGCACAGAATAATGAATTGCTATGTATTTAAAAGAATACGTAATTGCCCAGTGTAAATTGCATAATTTTTCCAATAACTGTGTGTTTTCTGTACACATTAGGACATAGTTGCCAAAAAATTATAATTTACGAGATATTTTATGTTACATGTCAAAATGTGTCAGAATAAAGTGTAAAATTGGTTTTTTAATATCTCTATCTTAATAGTCTTATATGCAGAATAACTAGAGAAATCTAAAATATTATCTAAAAAAAATCTGCACATAATCCATTTTAAAAAGTTGAGATGTCTCATATTTTCTTGACTCCTCCTAGAACAAAAACAACGTAATCCTCAAAATACGTCCTCGAAACTAGTTCACTTTTATTTGAAATATTTTTTTATATTATTAAAATATGTGAAATATTCAAGATGATCGACTTAAATGGACCACCCTGTATGTACATATGTTGTGTGTGTGTGTGT